CCTTCAGGCCTGGCTCCAGAGGGGGGCCCCGGTGACCGATGTCCGGGCGAGGGAACATGGTTTCAATTTATATAATTCATCATAAGAGGTCTTCGGGCTGCTCTTTGTCTGATCCCTCACCTAGGACCTGTTTGCCATGGGCGACCCTACCAGAGGAAGAAAGCCTCAGACAACTTAGCTCCTAGGATCACTGAGACATTCAAACCCCTCCACCACAGTAAGGTGGTAGCCCAGGGAGAGGTTTATATATATATATATATATATATATATATATATATATATATATATATATATATATATATATATATATATATATATATGAATACACAACAGGCACAGACATAACTTGAAGCTGGCAAAAGTAATGATTAAAAAAATTCAATTCTATCAACCATGCTTCAACAGAATTACCAAAAAAATAAAGTAATAGCAAAGGCCTGGACAATATTTATGGTACCCCTGACTTAATATTTTGTTGCACAATCTTTTGAGGCACTCACTGCAATCAAATGATTCCTGTAACTGTCAATGAGACTTCTGCACCACTCAGCAGGTATTTTGGTCCACTCCTCATGAGCAAACTGCTCTAGTTGTCTCAGGTTTGAAGGGCATCTTTTCCAGATAACATGTTTCAGCTCATTTCAAAGGTGCTCAAACGGACTGAGATCAGGGTTCATAGAAGTCCACTTTAGAATAACCCATTGTTTTCCTCTTAGCCACTCTTGGGTGTTTTAGCTGTGTGTTTTGGGTCATTGTTCCATTGCAAGATCTATGACCTGTGACTGAGACCAAGCTTTCTGACACTGGCCACCACATTTCTCTCTAGAATGCCTTGATAGTCTTGAGATTTCATTGTATGGTGCACAGATTCAGGACACCCTGTGCCAAATGCTGCAAAGCAGTCCCAGAACATAACAGAGCCTCCTCCATGTTTCATAGTAGGGAAAGTGTTCTTTCCTTTTTATGCTTCATTTTTCCATTTGGGAACATAGAGCTGATATGCCTTGGTAAAAAGTTCAATCCATCACTCACCTGTCTGTAGGACATTCTCCCAGAAGCTTTGCAGCTTGTCAATGTGTAGTTGGGCATATTCCAGTCTGGTTTTTCTTAATGATTTGTTTTCAACAGCGGTGTCCTCCGTGGTCATCTCCTATGTAGTCCACTTTGGCCCAAACAATGAAGGATTTTGCAATCTGACACAGATGTTCCTTGAGATTTAAGTTCACCTAGGATCTCTTCAGAAGTTGTCTGGGATCTTGTCAGGGAGGTTGGCTACAGTTCCATGAATTTACATTTAAAGCATAGATGAAAAACAGTGTTTGACTTTCACTGGTTAAATTAACTTGTATTTATTATTATTTCTTACTTCTTTCACTGACCGAAGGGTACCAACAATATTGTCCACATGTGAAAGTATTAAATTGCCTTTATTTGACATGTTGATTGTTTTCTAGTTCCTTGGCTTTGAAAATAAATGTTAGTTTATCATCAGCAACAACAACAATGAATGGTAGTGAGGCTTTGTGATCCTATTTACCACGAAAAATGAGTTAAAAGCAAAAATCAAATTTAATAAAAGGCAAATTTCATCTGCAATATCTTTCCAAATTTGTGTTTACACTTTTTTTTAAATAATCTGTGTTTCTTATTTGTTAAGCCAATAAAAATTTTAACACATAAACATATGTGTCTCTCCATTGTCTGTGTTTGGACCAGTTAGCTTATCAGTATCAAGACCAGAACCACAATTTCTTCTAACTGAGGCCATTCAGGAAATTGAGTTAGATGGATTTCCACTTTAAAATGGCAAAAATATCCCTTAAAATTAACCATTGCAAAAGTCTTGCTGATGCACAGAGCTGAACACACTCCCTAGATGTGTTTAAAATCCCAAATTGATGCTTTAACTCATCTAACGCCATCCTTCGTTTAGTAATTATTTTCAACATTAACTGGAGGCACTTCTAAAGTGATTCATCTAAGAAAGCAGTGTCTTTTTTCTAATTTAACTGTGATTGCCAGAGTTCATGGCACTATGGTGCTACGCAGCAACAGTCACCAATGGAAACTGTCATTAGGCTGGAGACAACAGGGTAGTGATGAGAGATGGGGGTGAGGTCTGCATGCTTGCTCGCAGCAAGGGGGTAATTGTATCAATATGTAAAAATTGTAGCTGTGCTGAAGAGTTGTTAATAAATTTTAGATCAAATTAAGTCATCGTTGCGTGGAGGCAAAGACCACACACGGGTCGGGTGAAGTGGCACGCACAGCTCTGAGAAAGCAAAATCGTTTTCTTGGATTCCCAAATTGCTACGAATATGAATGATAATTATTTAGCAGTATGAGTGATTAGATTTTTTTCATCAAGAGGCAACAGCACTCACACACAGCTGACCTTAATTTCATGTCTCAACGAGGCTTCATTGAGGAAATCAAACACTGTTGGCATGTTGAAAACAAACCCCGAGTCCATAAGTTACATCTCAGGAATCTGAACCAAACTTCAGTGACACACTGCTAAGATATGCCGCCCAGCTCTGAACAGCAGCTAATCCACACATGTTCTCACTCACAGATGGATTTGGCTGAAGGATCAAGGACAGTGTGGAGGAGATGGACACTATCCTTGTTGACAGTACCTTGACAAGTGTAATCCTACATAATACACACTGGGTAAACACAACACCAAGCCAACCGTGCAACCACGGCCCACACTTCCTCTGCTTAGCCTTTGAATTCCACATTCTTGTGAGGTTTGAAACAATATGAAAGATGCTGCTTTACAAACAAGTGCAAAAGTAGGTATGCACGGCCAGCGAGTAAAAGGATTTGTATTTATAAGGAAAGGCAAAGGCACTCATCAGAATAATCTGTCATCCGATCATCTGCATCCACACACATTCATCAGTATCTGGGACACATTTATAAAAGATCAATAATGGAATCGTGATGTGTTTGGGTGTAATATTGAAATCAGGATTTAACAGATTACTAATGAGAAGGACTTTTTTTCATTCATTCAAACAACAACAGGATTGCTGTGGTGTTGCATGTGAAAGTAAAACCCTCAAAGGGACATCGGAGCCCTTGATTGCTTATGAGCTATATGCAGTTTTTATACCCTTACATCACAATCACATACTTTGGCTCAGTTTTGAAAACGTAATGAGTTTAATAGCAAATATTTTCTGATTATGCAACAGCTAAAGTGTCCAAAGATCACATTTTTAGGAAACTGCAGTTACCAATTGCGGTCAGCAGGTGGCAGAATTGAGCTGTTTGGTGATGAAGAAAACAAACAGCTGACTAGCACCTAACAAAACTGAGGAAAGCTTCAAATATTTGGTTATACGATGTCCAAACACGGAATGAACACTGGGACTGAACGATCTATCGTTTTCTGGTCAAAATTGCGATTTCGAACAATGCAATCACGTGATCATCAAAGTTGCGTTTTTTTTTTTGTAGTGCTCCCGACTGACCTAAGTTGGGTTGTATCAACTATTTTAGACATCTGAGGATTTAAAAGTGTTACGGTGGTAGCGGCGAGAGGGGGAGAGAGTGGGAAGTAATTTTCAAGTTGTTTTTCTTCTTTTTGAATCGCCACTACAACCGATATTAATTATGGCTGTGGCTGACTGGGTCACTAATTTTCCATGTCACTAAATTTCTCTAATAGAAATGAATGCCATGTAAGTCGTACTACAGATATGCCTGTTTCAGGTACTAGAAAATTGCCACATCAGAGCTGAGCTTCAGACGGCGAGTTTTTAGACTCTTATTTCCTGATATTTGGACAGATTGCCTCCGAATGAATAACAGCAATGTGACTCTGCTTTGCAACATTGATGTTTGATTTCCACATATAACACAAGCCTGAAGGAGTTCCATGTGTTGTGGAGTAGCTAATGCTTAGCTTCTTCTACAAGACATGTTCTCTGTTGTTTGCATTAAGCTAAACCAACAACAGCCTTCCTCGTGGCGAGTCGAGACGGGTGAGTCCATGAATGTTAGGTGACAGTGTAACGTAATCTGTAAGGCTTTTCAAATCCTAGCGCTTCACCGTCTTATTTTCTATCAGAAGCTAATGCAGGAGATAGGTGTAGGAGACCAGTTTCCTGTTCAGCCTGCATGAAAAACTCTGAGTGACCAAATATGATTAGCAATAATCCTTCAAATATTGTTTTTCAGTGTTTGACACCTTTAAACTTTTGATGGTGTGTACCGTAATTTCTTGTCCTGTCCTGCTCGTAAATATTACTTGTGAATAAAGCGCCGAGTCTTGATTTGAAGAAAATCGTTAATCGCAATTTCTACTGGGAAACGTTGCAATTCGGTCTTATCCTAAGATTGTTTAGCCCGAATTATCACTCTTAAAAAGGCATTCTTTTAAGAGTGTTGCTTGGAAATAGAACCATATGGAGAAATATCAATGGACACCGTGTCACATAGTGTTTGGTGGATATAACTGTAAGAAATGGAAGTGTAAATTTTAGAAGTGTGTCCTCTTTCCTGTGCTAACATCTTAAAACACAACTACAGAATGGAAACACTTAGATTTAACAAGGAACAGATGTGAGTATTGTTCCAAATGACAGAAAAATAAAAGCATTCTCAGACAGCAAAACGTGACCTAATAATTGTGAAATTCATAATAATAGTTTTTTTTTGTGTCTGTTTTTGTTTGTCCAGCTGACCCTGTCAGGACTGGTCTTTAAATAGGAAAAGATTAAAATGATCAGAGATTAATAATTAGTTTGAATTAAACGCTTAAAGTTAATTTAATGTATATATTCAAAGGTCTCACATATGTGATTTTCAGACTTAAAATAGATTTTTTTAAAATAAAAATGCAACCTTAAAACTGTAATAATTACATAAAATATTGTAAACATTTGAGTTTACAACTTCCTTTGTTGTTGTTCCTTTGTTGTCATCAAATCAAACCTGTCAGCTCTGCTAGCATCCCCATTCCCCTGTTGGAGGATTGCAAGCCTTACCCTGAGGGCCTGGCTGTACGGCCCTATGTTAGCAGGGGCCCAGTGGGACAGGCTCTGGACATGCAGGGCTTCTTTCTGGTGGAAGCAGCCTTCCTCCGGGGGTTCAGTCCAGTCATGAAGCAGACAGTCCATCTGCAGCAGCTGACCAGTCGACAGATCGGCCTGGACACAAACCCTACAAGAGGAAACTCTCAATGAAGGCTGCACTGGCGCCAGCTCAAATAAAGAATGACAATAAACAAAAGCAGGGGGAAAAAGGTGAAAAAGTCAAACTACATGTGTTAGAACCTTTACCTGGCTGGGGGATTTGTATAAAAGTGCTTCTTGTAGACCGCATTAAGAAGAGCAAAGTCTTCCATGTTCTTCACATAAAGGTGAACCAAGATGATGTTTTCCAGCTTCCATGATCTGCGGTCCAACTCACCTGGAGACAGGTAGCACATTTTAAGTTCAAATGAAAGTTAAAAAGCCTCAGCTAAGCAAACACAGTACAGTACATTTGAGCGTAATGAATGATACAGCAGTCAGTCATCTGAATGCCATGCCATTACATATAAAAGGTCAAAAAGGATGATGCTGAAATCCATGTCCTTTAAACTGGTGCTCTATAAAGAGCAGTGTGTGTGCATATTGCAGGTTTTAGATGCAAACACAAGCACCAGGGCTCAAAGCGAAAGCCTTCTCTCCCTACAATCATCTGAAAGAGCTTCGAGTTTGTTTTTCCTTTGCCAACAAGAGCGCCTCACACTACTTCGCCCTCATACAAAGAGGTTGTTCATTAAATATTAACTTGTTTAATATTGTCTCTGCACTGTGAAGGCTGTTCAGCCAGACACCGGCATAAACATTAAATATGCTTTTCATCTTTTGCTTTTCTATCTCCATCAAAAAAAAGAAAGAGAGAGAAAAAAAAGAGAGATGCATTGTGAAATTGTGCACTTCTCAAGTTCTGCAGGCCAGAAATGATAACATGTCCGACATAGCTGAGTATGTGTGTGTGTGTGTGTGTGTGTGTGTGGTTTGGAGTTAATTTAAAACGCTTGTCCTTGTATGGTGGCCAGCCTGCTATCATATTCTTTTGACAGAAAGAGTTTCTGACACACAGTTTGGCTCCAGAGTTGACGAGCACTTCTGAGTAAGGAATGAGTTCTCAAGCTCCGAGTGTGAAGTTACCACAGCGACTAAAAGAAAAGCATGGAACAAACTGATTGATCGAAGATTTGACCATTAATGTGATAATATAAAAAGCAAGAAGCTGCTTAACTACATTTGAAACAAAATCATTGTAAATAATTATAGATTATGTCCATATATCAAAATATTGTTTAATGGATTTGGAAAAGAAACTTGGGTGTGTTCTTCTTTATGACTTTATTTATTTATTACAGAAACCAAAAGTAGATTTTTCCCTAACCTGAGACGTTCTTAACAGAACACAGAAAGTGTGTTTCAGAGTTAAAGAAAATATATTACTACCTTACCCATAATACATAACTTCCTGAATGGCCTATGTTCTGATAAAACCAGTTTATTTCCGTTGGGACTGATGAGCTAACTGCTGATCTGAGCCATGACCAAACTGTTTTGTTCTTGTCCTACAGCTTCAGTCCCCAAACTTTATGCATAGCAATTTAGCAACATTGGTTTTTTAAACCTTTACACCACTTACTACCTTATCTGGCCTTACACTGTTGTTTCCATGGAAATCTGTGGTTATTTGTGAGAATAAATTTCACCAGAAGCAGCTAAATGTGGACATTCTGGTGTGATCCAGGGTGAAGTCGAGCTGAGAAATAATCTAGCAGATATGTTTGTAAAAATAACTGAAACCACTGCAAAGCTTAGAGGAGATTGAAGCTGTTTTATGACAGAAGCAATCAGATTTTTGTTGGTCCATTTGGACGGTATTGAAGGGCTAATAATGACTTATCTAAATGGATCGATTTCCAGAGTGGTTAGCAACTCCAAATTTCCTTACAGTTCACGTGAACTCATCTCATATTCCTTTAGATGGCTGTCATTGTACAACTAGTTTAGAGGAAATATTAAGAAATATTTGCTCAACTGGATGCAGCTGGTGACATTTATGCTTGTAAACGTTAGTTCATCAGTCCTGACGGACGTAACGTTATTTCTCCAAAAAGAGGCTGCCAAGTGAACATTTTACAACAAACTTAGAATTTTTTTAACTTTTACACATAAACTTACTTCAAATAGGCCCCAAATTCCCTTTAAAATGTAAGATATTTGTCTATATGTACACTTTATTGTGAAAATGTGTCCCTTTATTACTTATGGCATGGGCGCAGTGGTTAGCGCTGTTGCGTTGCAGCAACAAAGTCTTGGGTTCACGTTCTGCAAGGAGTTTGCATGTTCCCCCGTGCATGCATGGGTTCACTCCGGGTATTCCGGCTTCCTCCCACATACCAAAAACATGACTGTCAGGTTGTTTGGTCTGTCTAAATGGTCCTTAGGTGTGAGTGTGTGTGCTTGGTTGTTTGTCCTGTGTGTCTCTATGTTGCCCTGCAATGGACTGGAAATCTGTCCAGGGTGTACCCCACCTATTTGGCATTTGGAGATGGGCACCTGTGTGGACAAGCGGGTTCAGATAATGGATGGATGGATGGTTAAGGCACTCTTGATAAAGCAGATGATGTTTGTTAATACATTTTCTCAGCATGTTTTCTTACTTTGCAGCTGTGTAAAAGCTTCTAAAGTCTGGCCTTCAATCCCATGTTCTTGACTTTTCACTCCACTGATGCCTGAGATCCACTGGAAGCCACTTGAGCTTCTCTTTGAGCAGGATGGAGGGCGTTCTGTGGGAAGTAAACATAACTGATAACAGATATACTCTTTATATCATGTATCTTCATGTACTGTGCTTAATGAAAACTTTTGAATGGATATATTTTATGTTTCTTTTTATTATAGAGACACGTCTCGTTTAAAAGCATACAGGAGGTTGGTTTATGACGGCAGAGAAATTAATTCAGAGACCGTCACAAATATGCTCCTTAAATGACAGCTCTTGTCAAACAATCGTTCAAAAGCAGCGGCGTTATGATGCTGGCCGCATATGACACAGACCCAGAGAGCACAAACTGCACAAAGATATCATCTGACACACACAGACATAAATACACACTCATGCATGCATGTCTGCATGTGCGTGTCTCACAACAAATGAATCTCACCGTGGCCCCGCTGACAACTAAGGTCACAGTTTGATGTAAATTCGTGCTGGTTGTCTTCAGCTTGATCAGCATATTCCAGCTCCGCAGTCATCTTGTCAATGGCGCTCTGGCAAGGACAACTACCATGGGGCAAAGCTCTCGTCACCACATCCTGCAAGAAAACACCACAGGGAATTCATCAGGCCAAGTACCCACCAAACTGCACAGAGCCTTTTGCAAAGACAGACAAAATGCTGTATAATTAGCCTCTTTTTTTTTTAAACCAGGCTGTGTATGTGTGTGTGTGTGTGTGTGTGTGTGTGTGTGTGTGTGTGTGTGTGTGTGTGTGTGTGTGTGTGTGTGTGTGTGTGTATATCAGTCTAACGTGACAAGGACCCAGACACACACAACTTCAAGGTGAATGAATAGGAAACAGCATGCTAACATAGCAGTGGTGTTTTCTGATGCTGTAGATTCAATCATGCATGCTGCCAGTCAAACCTCCAGACTAGACGGGTGAGACACATCTTGAATTTTACAATTTTTACTTTCCATTCATCTGTTTACTTGTACTTTGCTTCTGCTCCCTGCTACTTCTTTAAATAACAAATCATTACCATTCTCTCAGGCGCATGTATTACCTGCCAAATCTTGCTGGGGTGTCACGCATTTGAATACATTTTTCATATTTCCTGAACCCTCCCTTCGCACTGCCCAGCACTCACTCACCCCTCCTCTCGTCTCCTGTCAGCCACATTAAGCCATATGATAATCAAATTAATTATACTTCAGCCCCTTCTCTCCTGGCCAGCATGAAAAATAGCTTGACTAGCATTAACGGAGGGCAAATGATGGTGGTCCATCCCCACCCCCTGAGCTCGGTGCCGTTTCCTCTAGTGCTGGTGTCACCGCGGATCTGTCACCCTGACGAGAAGAGCTTTGGAAAGCTGAACCAGAGCAGGTTCTCCCCTGGTCCCCCCCCCCCAACTCTACTCTTGCAGGCTCTGGTTTTCCCTGCTCTACCCCCAGCAACCTAGGGGGGGGCTAGAAGGACTGCAGGAGCTTGCAATGTCTGTGTGAAGAAGGTGGGGGCAGCAGCGTAGGGGAGCAGGAAAAATACATAGCTCAGGGGGGTGAGGCTGCAGGGTTGCAGAGGTTGCAAGATGGGGGTATGTTTTCTGTCCATAACAGTACCATCCCCCATCTAACATGTAGATGTACAGTAAAGCTCCATGTGTGCATGAGCACGTGTGCATATTATTGCATGATGTTCAAAAGTCGAATAACTACAGGAATACGTTGTTGTCAGCAGGAAAAGTAACCTGCCAGTGGGATTCTTATTAAACCAGACCATCTGAAACAGAGTAATTTAAATCAAAACAGAGTAAGTCATCTTTCTGCATTAAGGCTTACTTCAGGAAAATTCAAGTACTTCCAGGGGAAAATCCGTGAGGTCCAATTCAGCCTCTAGTTTGCCAGAAGCCAAGCCTACACCTGCCCTGCAACCCTTGCTTGTGTCCTCGTAGTCAGCTACCTGAATGCAAAGTGCCTTAATGTGAGCAGACATGTTTATTAAGCTGGGCCTGGTTTCAGGCTGCGGCGAACATTGCAGACGTCAAACTAGGCCATGTGGGGCTAGAGGAGCAAGAGTGAGGGATAAAAGGAAAAGCCAAGAGCAAGACTGTGTGAGTGTGAGTTTGGAAGGCCTGCTGGAGCTGAACCCTGCCCTGCAGAGCCGAGTTTCTCCCCTTTTTGACAAAGTTATCAGCCACCAAAGGGTTGTGTTTTTGTAAATTGGTTGGCCCCCTGAGAGCCTTTTTAAAGGAATAATTTCCAAAGCAGTCAAACTTTTGCTCGCGTGTTTAATGGTGTTCAGTACACTGAATTTATTGCGACACATCTTATGGAAGTTAGACTCACTCCATGTTTGTCCTCTGTGTGCATTTTGGTGAAACGTAGGTAGCCGACCGGTGCAAAAGCATCAGCCGAGTGGATCACTGTCTCAGCTGCATCACTGCACAAAGAAAAAACAAAAACAAACAAAAACCTCCCGGACATATTTCAGAGAACACTGAGAAGGTGTGCTACAATTTCAATCTACTGGTTTTACTCACATGACAATCTTCTTTTTGAAGAGGGGACAATCAAGAGTGAAGGTTTCATATTCACCTCCTTCTCCACAGATATGAACACCATACTTAGTGGAAAGCTGCTCAGGTAAGACAAAACACTTATTTAAATACTATAAACTTTGTAATTAAAATTATTTTAGATGAAAAGAAACGTATAACACATGGAAAAGTAATTGCCACCTTATAGATTTCTTTTCTTTTTTTTTTTTTTTTTGCATTTTTGGGTCCCATTTAAACGATTCATATCAGAAACAAATCTCAAGAAAAAGCAACTAAAGTAAAAACAAAATCATTACCTGCTTGTTAAATAATGATTTAACATTGAGGAACCACAATACTTGAAAAGTTTGACCACCCACACTCAGGCCTGATTACAACCAGATTGCAGATATAAGAAATCAATTCAACACAGCCTGTCTGACCACAAAAATTAGGCTAAAACATCTCAAAACACATTGTATCCTGATGTTCTAAAGAATATCGAGAACAAAAGAACCCAGAACAGCATCTAAAGCTGGTCTGGTGCTCCTTTCCTGCTTCAGGACCCGGACAACTTGCTGTAATTGATGGAGCCATGACTTTCTGAGGGACAATGTCCAGCCATCAGCTCTTCATCTTAAAGACCAAGTTCACACGTTTGCAGTAATCTCTTGTATGAAAAGCCTTGTGAGTCGATCTCTGGACGGCAACGCGACTCTACCACTGACGTGTCTGCTCTGCAGAGTTGTTTCATCTCCACAAATAACACAAGTCTGAGGAAGTTCTGTCATGTGGTGAAGTTGCAAATGCTAACAGTTAGCTTTTACTAGCCAAGACATGCTCTACTCTCTCCTGGATGCTAAATAAACAACAGCCTTCCCTGTCACAAGCCAAGATGGGTGAATCCATTAATGCTAATTTCACATTGTGACAAGGAACTGACTGGCTTTCTAATTCAAGCTTTTCCCCTTCTATCCTACAGGCGGCTAATGCATGAAATAGGGGTTGGAGACTATTTTCACGTTTAGCCTGCATGTTAAACTGATCATATTAAAAAAAAATAAGTAAAAAACAGTTTCTCAGTGAACTTGGCCTTTTATAGCTCATAAACATACAGATTATGCAGCAAGACAATTTTCCATAACACACCAGAAGTTCAGCTCCCAGAGCCTCATAATTAAAACTATTTTGTACAGGAGATTAGGACAAAAGTCCTCCACAGCGACGCCGCAGACACATTAACTTCGTCTTCGTCTTCCTCCGCTTATCCGGGTCCGGGTCGCGAGGGCAGCATCCCAATTGGGGAGCTCCAGGCCGTCCTCTCCCCGGCCTTGTCCACCAGCTCCTCCGGCAGGACCCCAAGGCGTTCCCGGACCAGATTGAAGATGTAACCTCTCCAACGTGTCCTGGGTCGACCCGGGGGCCTTCTGCCGGCAGGACATGCCCGAAACACCTCCCCGGGGAGGCGTCCAGGAGGCATCCTGACCAGATGCCCAAACCACCTCAACTGGCTCCTTTCGATCCGGAGGAGCAGCGGTTCTACTCCGAGTCCCTCTCGAATGTCCGAGCTCCTCACCCTATCTCTAAGGCTGAGCCCGGCCACCCTACGGAGGAAACTCATTTCGGCCGCTTGTATCCGCGATCTCGTTCTTTCGGTCATTACCCAAAGCTCATGACCATAGGTGAGGATTGGGACGTAGATCGACCGGTAAATCGAGAGCCTGGCTTTCTGGCTCAGCTCCCGCTTCCCCACGACAGATCGGCTCAGCATCCGCATCACTGCAGACGCCGAACCAATCCGCCTGTCGATCTCCCGATCCCTCCTACCCTCACTCGTGAACAAGACCCCGAGATACTTAAACTCCTCCACTTGAGGTAGGACCTCTCCCCCGACCCGGAGGTGGCAAGCCACCCTTTTCCGGTCGAGAACCATGGTCTCAGATTTGGAGGTGCTGATCCTCATCCCAGCCGCTTCACATTCGGCCGCGAACCTACCCAGCAAGAGCTGAAGGTCAGAGCTGGATGAAGCTAGGAGGACCACATCATCCGCAAAAAGCAGAGACGAGATTCTCCTGCCACCAAACTCGACACACTCCACACCACGGCTGCGTCTAGAAATTCTGTCCATAAAAGTGATGAACAGAACCGGTGACAAAGGGCAGCCCTGGCGGAGTCCAACCCTCACTGGGAACAGGTCCGACTTACTACCGGCTATGCGGACCAAACTCACGCTCCTCTGGTAAAGGGACTGAATGGCCCTTAACAGAAAGCCACCCACCCCATACTCCTGGAGCGTCCCCCACAGGGTGCCCCTGGGGACACGGTCATAAGCCTTCTCCAAATCCACAAAGCACATGTGGATTGGTTGGGCAAACTCCCATGCCCCCTCCATCACCCTTGCAAGGGTATAGAGCTGGTCCACAGTTCCACGGCCAGGACGAAAACCACATTGCTCCTCCTCTATCTGAGATTCAACTATCGATCGGACCCTCCTCTCCAGTACCTTGGAGTAGACCTTTCCAGGGAGGCTGAGGAGTGTGATCCCCCTATAGTTGGAACACACCCTCAGGTAACCCTTCTTAAAGATGGGGACCACCACCCCAGTCTGCCACTCCCTAGGAACTGCCCCCGATGACCACGCAATGTTGTAGAGACGTGTCAACCATGACAGCCCTAAAACATCCATAGCCTTGAGATACCCAGGACGAACCTCATCCGCCCCCGGGGCTCCGCCGCTGTGTAGTTGTTTGACTACCTCAGCAACTTCTGCCCCCGAGATCGGACAGTCCATCCCCAGGCCTCCCAGCTCTGGTTCCTCCTCGGAATGCGCATTGGTGGGATTGAGGAGCTCCTCAAAGTATTCCTTCCACCGTCCGACTATAGCCTCAGTTGACGTCAGCAGCTCCCCATCCCCACTGTAAACAGTGTGAGCGAGTTGCTGCCTTCCTCTCCTGAGGCGCCGGACAGTTTGCCAGAACCTCTTTGGAGCCGATCGATAGTCTTTCTCCATGGCCTCACCAAAATCCTCCCACGCCCGAGATTTTGCCTCGGCAACTGCCACTGCTGCACCCCGCTTGGCTATCCGGTACCTGTCTGCTGCCTCCGGAGACCCACAGACCAGCCACGCCCTGTAGGCCTCCTTCTTCAGCCTGACGGCTCCCCGAACCTCTGGTGTCCACCAGCGGGTACGGGGGTTGCCACCACGACTGGCACCGGCCACCTTACGACCACAGCTAGCAACAGCCGCCTCGACAATCGCAGAGTGGAACAAGGCCCACTCGGACTCAATGTCCCCCACTGCTCTCGGGACGTGGTCAAAGCTCTGCCGGAGGTGGGAGTTGAAGACCGTCTTGACAGGTTCTTCTGCCAGGCGTTCCCAGCAGACCCTCACTATGCGTTTGGGTCTGCCAGGTCTACGCGGCATGTTCCCTTGCCATCTGATCCAACTCACCACCAGGTGGTGATCAGTTGACAGCTCCGCCCCTCTCTTCACTCGGGTGTCCAAAACATACGGCCGCAGGTCAGATGATACGACTACAAAATCTATCATCGACCTGTGACCTAGGCTGCCCTGGTACCAAGTGTACCGGTGGGCATCCTTATGTTCGAACATGGTGTTCGTTATGGCCAAACTGCGGCTTGCACAGAAGTCCAATAACAAAACACCGCTCGAGTTCAGATTAGGTGGGCCGTTCCTCCCAATCACACCCCTCCAGGTCAAGCTGTCATTGCCCACGTGAGCATTGAAGTCCCCCAGCAGGACAATGGAGTCCCCTGATGGAGCACTATCTAGCACTCGTCCCAGGGACTCCAAAAAGGGTGGGTACTCTGAACTGATATTTGGCCCATAAGCACAAACAACAGTCAGGACCCGTTCCCCGACCCGAAGGCGCAAGGAAGCTACCCTCTTGTCCCCCGGGGTAAACCCCAACACACAGGCAGAGAGTCTCGGGGCTAACAAAAAGCCAACCCCAGCCCTCCGCCTCTCACCCGGAGCAACTCCAGCAAAGTAGAGTGTCCAACCCCTCTCCAGGTCTCGGGTTCCAGAGCCAATGCAACGTGTCGAGGTGAGTCCGACTATATCTAGCCGGTACCGCTCAACCTCTGCCACAAGCTCCGGCTCCTTCCCCGCCAGCGAGGTGACGTTCCATGTCCCAAAAACTAGTTTTCTTGTCCGGGGATTGGACCGCCAAGGCTCCCGCCTTGGTCTGCCACCCGATTCGCATTGCACCGGACCCTTCATGTTCCTCCTGCGGGTGGTGGGTCCACAGTTGGACGAGCCCATGTATCCGGTTCGGGCTGGGCCCGGCCGGGCCCCATGGGCGAAAGCCCGGCCACCAGGCGCTCGCTCACGGGCCCCAACCCCAGGCCTGGCTCCAGGGTGGGACCCCGGTAACCCTCCGGGCCGGGTACTCCGACTCTTCGTTTTAACCGCCATGAAAGATCCTTCGAACCGTTCTTTGTCTCACCCTTCACCTAAGACCAATTTGTCATGGGAGACCCTACCAGGGGCACTAAGTGCCCCAGACAACATAGCTCCTAGGATCATTAGGGCACTCAAACTCCTCCACCACGATAAGGTGACGGTTCAAGGAGGAGTACACATTAACGATTATAATAAACACTTGATTACAGATGTGCCTCCAAAAGTGTTACAAGAAGTAATACGGTTTAGGGGTATTACCTGATCATAAAGGACCAGGTGGGTTTGGAAAGCTGTTATTCTTATTAAATGTAATTATCATTTAAAACTGTATTTTGTATTTAGTCTGGTTAACTCTGATTTTGTTGTTGATCTGAATGATTTAAGTGTGATCAAAACTGCAAAAAATAAAAAAGGAATCTGCAAGGATGCAAATACTTCTCACACCATTACTTCTTTGACAATAGAATTTCACAATGCTGAAAAGAAACTTCATGTATATCCTAAACTTTATAAAAGTATCTACGTTGGTATTTAATCAAGGTCTTGAGTATGCTACCTGTTTCAGATGGGGCTTCATATCAGCCAAGGATTTTCCTAAGTGCTTTTCTGGGTCCAGGCCTGCCATCCATGTGGAGAAAACACACATGCACGCACACACACGCACGCACGCGCACACACACACGCACGCGCGCGCGCACACACACACACACACACACACACACAGAGAGAGAGAGAGAGAGAGAAAGGCATGGAGAAAGAGAGAGAAAAAAGGAGTTCTGATCAAAAACAGAGAGCAGTGATTGAAGATGACAAGCAGGGAGGTTTACGAGCAGACGCACAAACACACTTGTAAACCTGCACCCTGGTTCTGTTTGTTTGACTTTGCAAGTAGTGTACACAGATCTCTCTGGGTAAGGGCAACAGTTTCAATTGCTAGCCACAGACTCCCCCAACACACCCTTGTCTGCCACCCCCCTCCTCCCCACTGGTTCCCTTTGAGAACGTGAACTCTGGAAAAAGAGCTTGTTTATTTGTCCTTTTCCTCCCTTTCCCCTGAAATGGTGCATGGAAGTGACTCACAGCCATGGGACAGAAAAGGGGAAGAGAAGGGTGGCATGGGGTTATGGATGCATCGTCAGTGGTGCCACACTCCTAAAATGCAGGCTGGTCGACCTCTTCTCCCAACATAAGCTAAAAATAAGCAAAGTTGTCACCTTAGAAAATAAATAAAAGGAATCTAAATTATTATTTCACTAATCAGTCTAATTTAGGGATTATGTGCATACTGGTAGGAATGTAAGAACAAATTGGACAGTCAGCATATTGAGAATGGGAGGATTTCACTCCTCTGCAACCACGAGTCCTGATTTGGTCTTTGTCTCTTGTGTTTGGGACCGTCATACCGAAATCTAGCTCACCCTGTTGCTCCTTCCAGAAAGTACAGCCTACTATTTCCTATTGCACATTTGTCACCATTAAAAAAATAAAAATAAAAAAACAACAGCGTTTCAGGTGCTTTCTAGAACAATACAAATATAACAAGACATGAATGGAAAATGCTGAGCTTGAGGAAATTCTAAACAACGTAGTTATTTGTTTTTGCCCCTATCTTAAGCACAGAAAAGTTTGTTATCAAAATAAGTAAAGTCAAACAAGTGTACCTTGGTGCTTTTCGTAAAAAATGTCCTTACTCTTCTACTTTTTCCATTTACTCCTTTGCAGCTAACTAAGTGATTGGCATAATCATTACCAAGTAACTGATGACCTATACGGACTGATGTGTAGTTGTGACAGTGATGCCATGGCAAAAAAAGAATTGTTCCTAAATTGGCTTATTAATGTCCCTGAAAAATCCATGCAGCCCCTCAGCTCACATGGTCCAGTTCATTGGCATGATCGTCTGTTTAATTAGATGAATAAAGTTAATCCTAATGTGAGAATCTCCCCTCTCTCATGGCCTGACAACCTCAAAGGTTAATATGTCATCTACAAGACCCCATGGGGAGCAACGGATGGGAGGCAAGAGAAAATGGAGAGATGTGAAGGAGGGATGTCGCATCCCATCCTGTGTTCATTTTAATCCCAGCTGTGTCCCTCCTCTGGGTCCCTTTGGTCCGGTGCTACGGGGAAAAAGAAAAAGGACCAAAGCAGTAAGGAGGGAGGGAACGAAAGAGGAAAGACAGGGTGCGGAAAAACTGAATGAGCAGCCCCTTATTCTTGTCCCAGGGGATCTGTAGTCTTAATTAGTGTGAGAATATCTAATCTGAACATCCTCTCATCTTAACCCTGCCACAAAGGTAATAAGGAGGGTGAAAAAAGTATTAAAACTCAATCCAATTAAAGTTTCCTCTTTAATTAGTCATGCCTTTTAACAAATTTTAAAAATTGGCCTTGAGTTGCTATGGGTGTGCCATGTTTTTTAATATGTTCATTAACTTCCCAGCTCTTAAATTATAGATGACACATGATTTGATATTAGCAAGGACGGAGGAAGATGACTGAAGCCTAGGAAGGCAGGAGTAAGAGACAAAATGAAACAAAGATGGCATTAATGTGAAGCAATTTCTCCAAAGACCACTTAGCACTTGTATGAGTGCTTTTTTAATTGATGTTCCATACTGAATCAACCATTTGTACCTGGAGATAGCTTCAACGAGCATGTGCTTTTACAATATATGCTTTGCAAATTCTTTAAGTAGGCACCGTTGTGAGCCTTCAGCGATCTAACGCCGCTCATTTACATGATCTTCACATCTCTGTCTCCTCTAAACCTGTTTTACAACTTGACCTAAACCCAATTACCTAACCTCATTATGCCACATTAAACCCAAATAAGCCCACCAGAAGCTGCCATTAGTCTGCCACCGGAGACAGTAGGACCCCACTTTGGAAAGACGGCAGCTTCCCTAAGAGAGACCGAAAGGAATGATTTTATTTTAAAAGGGCTTTTTACCTCGTATTATCCTACAAAACTCCAATTAAATTCAGTGAACTTTAAAACCAGGGATTCTATAAATGAGAAAACACATTTTCTAAAAGCACTGTTGGCCTTTAGGATGATATTATGGAAGGGGATAAAGTTAAGCCAAAAAATAAATAAAACCGGAGGACGGTAAAGCTCATCTTCGCATTGAAGACAGAAAAACTGCACAAAGAAGTGAAGTGAACTATATTTAAACTTTTATAGCTATGACTGAAACATTTCTGTTTGAAAATAAAACAGATGGTACTTTGGTACCAACAAGCCACTGAAGCACCCTTGCAGACTAAACACACACCTCATTGGCATGAGTACTCCCAGCAGGACAACGTCGGGAACAACATAAACAATCTACAGGAGCGCTTCTAGAAGAACAACAACAAGCCCTAAGACTTCACCACAATCTCTAGGTCAGCGGTGCCCAATTCTGGATTGGAGGGCCAGTATCCAGCAGGTTGTAATTTTAACTCTGCTTCAGCACACCTGATTTCAGTCATCAGGTGATTAGCAGGCTTCTGCAGAGCTTGATGAGCTGCTGCACAGGTGATTCAGCCACTGAATCAAGTGTGATGGAGCAGCGAAACCACAAAACCTGCTGGATACCAGCCCTCCAGGACCAGGATTGGGCACCCCCTGCTCCAGTTATTTTTTTATTCAAGAACTGTGGGAAATGCAAGAACAAGGCACAGTCTCAGGCCTTGTATGGCCCAAAGAATTTATTCCCACTCTTCCATTGCCATACGTCGTATGGCATTACCACAGGTTCACGAACTGACCTAAATGATCAGAGTTAGAAGCAAAAGGCAGACTTTCTCAAATGGCATTATTATCACAGCTGATGAGTGTTTAGGTAAAAGCATCCTTCTACGACATAGGAGGTTGCTGGCCATTAGATGAGTGGAGGTATCGTCACTTTGTGCTGAGCCCAAGTATATATATATATGTAACTAATGTGCAGGATGACAAATGTGGCGCAGTGTGCTGCACATCACTCATCTTGGCACAGTGCATGGCTGCCCTGCCGCTGAGCAACAAATACAGGCGAATGGGTTTGGACGTGCTGCGTTGCTCCCACCACCCAGGCCACCCCTACCTGGGGTCCTAAGAAGAATTTGATTTGATTTCTCCTTCTATCTCAGCTGATGGTGCTCTACATGCCACAGGCATGATGCACATCCTTTGCAGTGAATGTGTCACCTTTTGGAAAACGGGCCCCTACAGCACATGTTCTGCAGGAAGGGAGCGGCAACGTTGCCACCACCTCTTAACTGAAATCACTATCGATCTCATAGCCAGCACACAACACCCAACAGAAAAAAGAATAACTTGGAAAGTTTCTCCAAGCGAAATCTAACAACAACAAAAGAAACTTTCCTTTAATCATAAGAAAAGCCTTCTTTCACTTCTATAATTCCAGAAGTCAAGGGCAATTATCTCCAGACCATTATCTTGCTTCATTTCTTTTTAGCAACCATGATTGGTCTTTTAGCCCTTGAAGAGGCTGGTTTTTGTAAACCGACAGCATTGGGTTACCTAGTTAATTGAAACTGCTTGTGATTTTGCTTGCAGAGCCTAATGCCAAATTAAAAGCTGGACGATTCTAGATAGCATCTGAACTGAGCTGAGCGTGGTATTACGGATATCTGCGGGCTGTCTTAAGATCTGGCGAGCCAGCTGACAGCTCTGCTTTAATCCCTGCCTTCGGAGAGAAAAGGCTGCGGAAATTGGATTCATGATGTGTAACATTTTAGCTTTTAAATGGAGGAAATAAGCATCTCCTCCCTCGTAGGTGAGCTGCATCAGCCTTTAAACAATGCTCAAAAAGACCCCTGCCAAAACAACGGCTGTTCACCATCACCTAATCTTGACGAGACAGACAGAGGAATGCAGAAGGGAAATAAGAAACAAGGGCAGGAAAGTGGCATGGTATAATGGATGATGAGATTAGGGTTATATGTGAAATTTGTCAAGCTCTTATCTAAAATTCAGTTTCTGTGAATAGTATTATTGACAGAATTACTTGTGTTGCAATCACACTAAGATAGAATCTTTTTTTTTCTTCGAAGAACAAATCATGTTCAGTTCTAAGGAATATTGACTCTAAGGTGAGTAATGACATTTTTACCAAAAGATACGGTTAAATCGTATTCTTTACCAAAAATGTGTCTTTATTCAGTTCCTGTCTTTTCTCTACTGTACATTACAAGCAAGAGGCGAAAGAGAAATAATTTACTTAAAACAACATTGGGGCTGGGGTGGCACAATAGAGCGTGACATAACGTCGCACCATAATATGGGACGCAGCACTAGAAAGCAAGCATGTATTTTGCATGGGTGCCTATGGATCTGAGTCGCTTCGCTCGTCTTGAAGTTGCAGTTCTGTCTTCTAAAAATGTACAAATGGGAAGGAACTAAGCAACACTGTTGGGAATGGTGCTAATCGCACTCTTGATACCCAGATCAGATGTCGGAAGGGACATTTTCTGTCCTTTATCCAAAGCCATGTAAGGTCCGCGACAACATGAAATAGCTGGAAGGGAAACGGGCCAAGCTAAAGACAGAAAAAGCAAAGCAGTGGCAATATTTAGGTGGAAGAGTGGATTTTCACAGTGTGCTTTCTCTGCCTGATATTTGTTCTATACATTTAGCCAGACGGAAAGGTCCTATGTCCGAGAATGATGAGCTCATAGGGACGCTCTCAGATGTGGAGTTATCCAGTAGGCAGCGGTGTAAATGAAGGTTTCCGGCTGTACGTCTCAACCAAACAGCAAACATGGATGAAAAAGGCTTTAGACCAGAGGAGGGTGGTATGTAAAAGCAGTGACACAAATAACAACCTAAGAGTAAAAAGAGAACTGACACTTGAGCACTGTAAGTAATAAGTAACCTTTTGAATTTAGTTTCTGTCAATTTGTTTTTATCAACATCCAAGCGTGCTGTCCGTGTTTTATCAATTGGCAAAGGCAGTTTGTTTGTAACAAGCATCACATCTGCAGTGATGGCAACAGTAGAATATGCTATTGGTCCATGTGGTAAAGCCTGATTCATGCTTCTCCGTCTGCGTCAGTGCGGAGACACTCAACGCCATTATCCGTCCTTGTGTAGGGCCCCGGCGAGCACGCAAGTACGTACGGAGTCGAGCCCACTTTTTTAAACATCTGTCGAACGAGATGGATTACGCAAGCTTGTGATTGGTCAGGACGCCGCTGTTGTTTACAGCGCCGCCATTGCAAAGAGAGCCGAGGATAACTAGCGGCAGACACGGAGAAGCTTGAAGAATACCTCACGAAAAAACTCTAAAAATATGAACGTTTCATTCTCCCGTGACTGGAGGAGTGAAAAGATGCGCAGCAAGCGTTTTATTTGTGGACGGAAATGACAGGAAACGTGGGTTTAGAGGTGGCGATCGCATGAAGAGGTGGGAGAATGAGAGACAAATATGTCCGTGTTAAAAGTCTCTTATATACACAAAAAACACAATATAAACACACTATCTTGGACTGATACCTGACAGGATACCACAGAACAGCGCTACGCCCTCTGTTGTCCTGCCGGGCAATTGCTTTGCAACACTCTCCAGGAGACGGAGAAGTGACGGAGAAGTGTGAGAGCAACACGCTTCCGTCAATCCGTGCGTGTCTGTCCCTTGCGGAGCTGACGGAGAAGCATAAACCAGGCTTTACTCTGGAGTTTAGCCTGTAGCCGTGTTACGCATTGCGCCTTCATTCTTTTTCATGACAAAACAATAAGCCTTTGCATCCAAAACATTTAACTCAAACATTTCAGAAAAAACAACAACAAAAGTTTTCACTGTTATTCCAGGGATTGTTTCCAGTTTTGTGGTATTTAAAACAGTTTTAATTTCCTTTTGTAAATGAAACATATTACCATGTTTACTTTTAATAAATGGTGAGTCTCAGTGACATACATACTAATAGCTTATTTATTTATTTTTTACTTTTGAATTTTTATTAAAATGTATTCACTTCCTAGCTTTAACATTGTTTAGAATAGATAAAATTAATGTTTATGATGGGGGGGGGGGGGTGGGGGGCTTCCTGGGGGGAAGCCAGTGGAATGGCCAACAATTTTTCAGGGTGGACATGGCCCCCCTGGCAAACTCTTTGGTGCACCACTCTGTTTATTTCCTTTTTCTATTCCTAAGCTTGGTTCATGCTTGATACATCTGCGAGGTTCGCACGGCTCCGCGCGGCAAAATTGTGTCATTTTAACAACCACGCCCCACCACCGCACCTCCGCACAGCCCAAACTTTCCGCACCGCGTACCTAGGAAATTTTCTAACCACGTGGACGGTTGGACGCGGAAAAACATGGCGGACTGGCAGAACTAGTATGGCAGAGGTTCATAAATACAGAAATTTGTATGATTCAGCTCTCAGAGATCACCGTGATCAACATGTTGTTAATAATTCTTGGAGAGAAATAGCTCGCACTGTCGGAAAAGACGAGGACGCTGTTAAAAAATGCTGGAATGCCATGTTGCAAACAACAGAAATGTTTACTTCTACTATGGTGTAGTGTTGGATACATGCCGTAGAGCTCCATGCTGCCCCCTACAGTTTGGGAGAATATTGGCTCACCGCAGAGACGAGCCGCATGAACCATAAACGCTGCAAGTTGTGAAGCGCGTTCCATCCGCGAGCCGCATCACCAAGCGGAAAGTAAATGCGTCAAGCATAAACCAAGCTTTAGTTTTCTGGGTAATAGTTGTGGTTTTTTGGTGTTCTTTGGGAAATTTTGAAGAAAACAAATCTGATATTTTACAAAATGCTTTTTCTGTAGTTTTCTAAACTAACAGAAAACATTTGAACTTGTTTAGAGTTAAACATGTGAAATCAGACATCATATGACTGCATCTTGCAGTGTTTTTAAAATATTTCCTTAAGTAGATACATGGAATATATTACTATGGTGCAAAACTGTAAGCAATGTATGGCATTAATTTAGTTAAGTAGCTGTGAAGCAGAACACCTTTTGCAGAAAACAAACTGTTTTTCTTACATTTTTAGAGTTAAAAAAAGACACATTTCTGATTATGGAAATTGTAATTTAAGTAAGTTTGATGGAACCGACTGAAACAAATAATCTGTGAATAACCAAGCCGTTCACATTAAAACATTTTAGCAAATTTCCTTTAATGTCTTTGATCATTAAGTGTCCTTTAAGGATATAGCAAATTCCTTTGTGGGGTAGCTCAAAGGCTACAATCGTGTGAAGGGTAAAGGTTCATGCAGATAGACCTTCATTTCACACAAGCCAATTATCCCTGGAGCTCAGGACCTATTAACTGCTGAACCTGTACCCTGATACATACCTGTGCTAATCATCAATTATCTAATTACATGAATATATAATATTAGCTTTTTTTAAAGCCAATTAGTGGGGTTAGCTGAAGAGTTAATGCATTTTAAAGAGACAGTTCCACAACAACGCAATATATTTCTCTATAATTAGTAACATTTCTTGACATTCATTTGCATAAGTTGCTGAGCTTATTTTCTTCTGTTAGATTTGGCATATTTAAAGGAAATGTTTTCAAATGTTTTTTCTTCTCTTTTGTAGATTTACTTCTGCACACAAATAGATTTGAAAGGAGAAACTAAAGAAAAGGACTGATGGACATTTTCTTTAGTCTTTTAAAATGATTAATGAAGGAAAATAACGCTGAATATATCCTCATTAATGAGATATTAAAATAAATAAATTCAGACAGCAACAGAACATCTTAAGCTGTTGTAGTTGGGAGTTCTGATGCAGGCTTAACCTTTGTGCAAAGAAAGTTGGACTTTTTTCCCTTCTTTTGAGGTCTGCACAAGTAAATCCCTCAAACTCTCTTTCTCCGTCACACACACACACACACACACACACACACACGCACACACGCACGCACGCACGCACACACACACACACACACACACACACACACACACAAACCAAAGCCCACCAGGTACACCCTTCTGTCACCCAATCTCCCCAAAACAGCACACCTCACTGCTCAGACCTGCTCCCACCAAAGCTGCAATTATGAGCGCTGCCTAAAAGGCCTCAGGCACTCGCCCCCCCTATTCAATTCTCTCCTTTCTAATTACAACCGCCCTGGGACAGGTGAGAAGTCAGGCCTGATACGATCTGCTCTTTTTACTTGTAGCGAAAACACACACGCACACGTACGCACACAAACATCTACAGTGTGGACGCTGAGAAACACACTAAAAGGCACCCGAGGTGATCTTCCATCCTAATTATAATCTTTCAAAAATGTTGGGAATTTGCTTTTGGACAAAGTTGTGCTTAGATTAGAAAGCTTGGAAGGTAACAGGGTTATGAGGAGACTAAAGTCTTACAATTTGGAAGGATTATTTGGGAAAAAAAAAAAAAGGTTTTTTGTTAGAAGAAAAAATTACCTTATTTATCTCTTCTATTCTGTTAAAAGTAGTATTTTCAATTAGCAAAATAAATAAATAAAATGCTAATAAAGGGGACGTAAAATAAACATGGATTCTGACATCATTCCTCCTTTGATGGGCATCTTATGAGTTATATTATTTATTACCAAAACGTGCTTTATCAAAGCCATAAAAATGAGAAATGGCTGCAGCAACTTAAGTATCGAAGATAAATGGCTCTGCGAGTGCATTCCATGAGGGGTTATTTGAGCAGCGTTGAAAGATATGCTGAATATCCCAAACACGTTACTCAGCTCTGCGGGTCATCAGTCAGCCATGCCCCTCCTTCCTTTTCCGACTGATCGCTTCCAAAGGTGACAACAAGCACTTAACGGCACGCCAACACTGTGTATATTATGACCTATCTCTGCGTGGAGTTTAGGTGTAAAAAATAAGCATTTGTAACTATGATTATCATTCATCTTTGGCAGCGTCAAAGGGATCAAACTTTATTGTCAAGAAAAAAACAAGCAGGGATCTTAACATCACGTACAGGGGAAAGAAAAAGAAAAACATTATTATTTATTTTTTAATCTCTTCCCTTTTAAAGTAATCTGATCTTTTTGTGCCCTGGTCTTGGAAACAGAGCAGGTGACACTAAACTCACCTCTCCCCTCAGCGCTGAAGCTGCTGAAAACTATAAGTGAGAGATACCAGACTTTAATCATCACTTCCTGGACCGTGTACTTGGAGATATGCATATGCAGAAAAATGCAGCTCTTCTCACATACAATGCAGATATGTGTTAAGGTGCAGGGCAATAATCTGTGAGTGCTTCTTCCAACCATTCCTCCACACACCCACCCTCCCAATATCACCGTGTAATCCCAATTCCCTCCCGTCTCCCTCTGTGCTTCTTATCTTTTCATTTTGTTCTCTGCTTCAATACTTCTGCTGCTGGCGCAAGTCCTAACATCACTGCTAAACCGCAGCTTAATGATTAGAGTTTTACTCTGCTCATCTCTCCTTTTTCTCTCTAGTTACGCCACTCTTTTCTTTCCCCATCTTTCTCTCACTGAAATTCTGTTCTTTTGGTCATGACACGAAACATCGCTTGACCAATACCTTATGATAGAATAAAAAGAAAAAAAAATACCCAGTGATGTTAGATTACTGAGATGCAAACAGAGGCAGAAACTAACCAAAAGCAGCAACTTTGATGAGGATAGCATGCAGGTTCGATGAAATCATCTCATGGAGGAGCAGCTCTTGGTCTCTACGCCACAGGTAGGCCAAGGGCTGCAAACCAAGCCGCATGCACCTATGGATCAAAGAAAGCGTCAATACTCAGTATAATTCAAACTCTAAATTGTTTCAGAGATGGTTTAACATCTTTGCAGAGAACTTTCTCCATTTTAAGGTGATGAACTGATAAGCCTACATCCTCCTCCATCAGCCTCCAGGGTCAGTGGCTTGATTCAAGAAGAGGAAAAACTCTCATCTTACTCTGGCTTGTCTTTCAAATGCAGTCACGTGAAAAAAGAAAGAGCCAAACTGTTGACAATGGTTTACAGGCCAAAAAGTCATTTAGATGTTTTTTTTGTTTGTGAAAAAACAGCAACTAACCCTAACTGGGACGATTGTGGAAAAGCCCAATGGAACAAAACAAAACAAACAAACAAAACAACAAGACTGGGAAATGCATTTCTGCATTACAACAACAATTAAGTATTTTAATATTTTTAAACATTTTTTAACATCTCATTTATCAAAACAATGCTGCAAGTCTCTATTTTATCAATTCAATCTGATTTAAATAATTGCTTCTAAACACAACTGCTAGTCTAAACATAAACAAAACAAAGTATGTGTGAGCATGCATGTGTATGTGTGTGTTTATGTTTATGTTTATTCATTTAGGAGACGCTTTAATCCAAAGCGACTTACAATTTATAACCTAACCTGTGTGTGTGTGTGTGTGTGTGTGTGTGTGTGTGTGTGTGTGTGTGTGTGTGTGTGTGTGTGTGTGTGTGTGTGTGTGTGTGTTTGTGTGTGTGTGTGTGTGTGTGTGTGTGTGTGTGTGCGTGTGTGTGTGTGTGTGTGTTTGTGTGAATGCATTTAAATAAAAGTCAGTCAAAGTTTGGTAGACAGTGTGATACAAACTACAGAGGATGTACTCTTTTTCTTCAGCAAACCACAGAATGTGCATCACTGGAGGCCTATTTGCATCAAACGTGTGCTCATTAGACAAAGAGTGTGTTATGAAGGTTAAATGTTTGACTTACACGTTCTCCACACGGACCCTCTGATAATCGGACAGAATGGCCCCCACAGACACTCCTTCCACACCCTCCTTTTCCTGTGAGGGGACAAAAAGTCACATGAGCCTTCTTCACATTTCTTTAGCTACAACATGATCAGATTGCACTGCAACATCCCTTTAAGGTCACAAACACCTGAACATCTCAGAACGATATCCATGGTGTTACAGGCACAATACCACACAAACTCATGCAACCACACACAACAGTGACTAAGACAAAAGAAAGCTGATTCCTGACAGCTCCTGCCTTTCATTGGATCACAATCCTGTGGGGATGTTTACACTCTGGTTGCACCAAGGCCTCTCCGGTCCAGCACAGACCCCCTGGAGGTTTGCACACATGCCTCTCAAAGTGAAAATGCGTGTGTTTACTGCAGGCACAAGGGAGGTTTCTGCACCTTATCACCAGTCTGGACTAAGTAGGAGATTAAAGCTTTCTCTGCAGACCCAGCTGAAAGATGAAGCTGCCGCGACCTTCAGTCTGACTGGCATGTATCTTTAATATAGCTAAAGGCTGTTCTAATTGCTTTTCATATCATATTTATAATTCACAAACTGTGGGACAACAATGCACCAAAACAGGCTTGATCTGAAGTGACAAACACAGACAGAACCAAGGAAGCTACATGCTGATGCAACTGCGCATTTGCTCAAAAATGCCTCTGTCCCCACCTCTGAGCCCCTCCTCTATCCACACACACACCTGCAGACTCATTAGAACATTACATGGGCTGTAATTAGAAAGAGAGGCAAGGGTCTGAGCAGTGGAGAGATGCCCGAGTCTCCAGTAAATTACCTTGTAGCCATCATCAATTTCCCTGGCTACTGGTCCTTAAGATAACCCCCCTACCCCTGCCCCTCCCTCTCCCTGTGGTCCCTTCCTGCAATTTTTCTCTGCCTGATAAACATGCTGATTAAAGCGAGCACGGTGTAAACCTTTGATACTTCCCTAAATGAAATCCATGCCCTGCCTGGGACCTGATGCTAAGCTGAAATGCACGGCACCTCACACACGCTAACACACAGCTCGACAAAGGCGTTCCAGCTAATCAGATAAAGGATGTGATCTGTGTGTGTGTGTGTGTGTGTGTGTGTGTGTGTGTGTGTGTGTGTGTGTGTGTGCATTGCAATATATGTGTGAGCTGCCTTTGCTGTGCAACAGAGGATGTGAGGCTTAAAGATAAACAAATACAAACAAGTTCAGTCCAAAATTAACTCTCTGGCCTACGTTAACCACTGAGGTATCTTAAGAAGGGATTCTTCTCAAGTTTTAATATCTCTCCAGTGAATCCAGGACTAGAACATACATTAGAGCCAATTCCATTGCCCGGTGACAGTAATTAAGTCCGACTGATAACATTTCAGGCCAGCATTGAGCGAAAGGAGGCTGCAGGCGGTGTCATGTAATTCGAGGTAAGCCTCAAGGAAAACACTCTATTCTAATACAATGATAACCTTTTCCCTAAACGCAACTGTCACTCCCTAAAGAGGCAAATTAGGAGGTAAAGAGTGGAATAAGGATAGACAGAGAAAGTGGCAAAGATTTACAAATTAGAGTGATGAAAAAGTGTGCAACATCTACACCAATTTAGTCCCTTGGCTTTAAACTTGGCAGGACCTGACGAGCATCAGAGCATCAACAAATAGCATCTTTGTTTTAGTCTCTTTGTCTCCTTCGAGCTCCATTCTCTCAGGAGGCAGACTCTAGTAGGTACTGGACCTCTACGGATTAGCTCATCTAATTAAACAGCTCCTTTCAAGCTATTTTTTTGGCTCTCATTACGTCCTATCACACTAGCTTATGACTCCGCATAGCCTACTCAACACTAATGAAAACATTAGAACAATTTCTCACCATTCCTTTACTTGCAACTGAGACTCTTGCTACTAAAGTGTTTGGCAAAAGCTTTGGGAAATGGTTATTTCTGGACGCGTCTATGTTTTTATCACCAATATAGCCACTGGGAGACAGGCAGGAATGGGAGGGGTGTTAGGTTTTGCTGCTCTGGACGTTAATCTACAAATTTAAGTCTTTTGTAGAAGGTAGAGAAAATTCTTAGGAAGACAGAGTATATCTCAATTCATAACTATTTAGGCAATCACTCTTTGTTTATTCATACTGTCATGAAAAGAACTGATTTAAATTTTATAGTGGCAGAATTTTTATGATTTAAAGTGAAAATAGTTGACATAGCGACGTGGTAGCTCATAAAATCTGGTGTAATAATAAAGAGGGATAAAGGATTTTCCAAGAGCTATCTGTCTAGATGGTGCTTTGACTGCATTAAAGGTAAGAGCTGGGTCATATGACGATAAATTGAGGTATAAGAATTTCTTTTGTCTAGACTGTTGGAGCAAGATCTGAGAAAATCTGCTGCCCTGATTCTGTGTCACATTTCTCCATTTTAATGTTAAACGAGCCTTGCTCATTAAAATAAGCTTTACCTGGTCCAGAACTTGGGGCCCTCAGCATAAGCTCTTGCCCATAGAGGGACTAATTCTGGCATGGAGTTGTGCAAGCAGTCCAAAGCCCTATAGCGGCTCTGTCAGAGGCAGACTAAACAAAAGCCTGGCCTGGCTTCCCTTGTCTTCTCCAACAGGCAGAGAAGCTATTAATGAGGATCTATGGCCCACAGCAATGGAAGTCCTTAGTCCCCCCAGCTATGTCCATCAGGGTACTTAGCCCCATGCAGTCATTAACTTCTGTTACTAATTGTCAAATTCATTAAACTAATCCTTCCCCCACATCCGGATGTCTCCTGTGGAAATGGATGGAGAGGGCTGAGTTATTAAGATGTCAGCTGTGTAAAAGATTAAGGCCAGTAGACATGCTCCACAAAGAAACGATACGGCCATTAAATGCTATATCAAGGTAGTGTGTGTGTGATATATTTTGTAATTATATTTTCATCCATCTTTGTGAAGGAGCAAAAGAGTCATTCAATTGTTTTCACAGTCACAGACGTTCCCTTCGCCATGACATATATGCACCAAAATGAATACAATTGACAAAAATCATTAAGAAAAGAATTCAACTTAGCTCTCAGCTAAGGTACTTACCCTTGCTGGATGTTCACTCGGGGTAATTTTGAACAGTCGAAGCCATTAAAAGCAACCAAGGCAATTAGAAAGCCATAAAAAATGTAAATTTCAATATTCATGTTCATATGGAATACATCAGAACCCTCATTATTGCCCTCTCTATATGGCTGTCACAATGAGGTCCTAATTATATACCCTAACAGTACAAAGTTCCCTTTTCCAAAACGCTTGCTTTGGTCTGTTCTGGGAATTTGTGCCCAGAGCTGCAGGTTGTACCTACTGCAAGTCTACTTCAAAATACTTGTTTTGTAAAATGCATCTAATGATCAGTGCATTATTTAAATTATATTTATAAATAGATAAAATATAAATTGCCTTTAGTATAAAATGTGTTGGTTTGTGATGGCAGAGAGGTGGCCAAGGTGGGGAAATTAATTAAAGTGCTTTGAATGACAGTTTGCTCAAGGGCACCAGGGTACTGTCTCATCCTCTCCATTGCTACAAGCACAGCATCACATTATCACTGTGTCTGACCCCAGAGCCTTCAATCCCATACCCCCCCCCCCCCCCCCCCCCTCTTCAACATTCCACTCCATCTCCCCTCTGCATCATCCCTCCTTTCCTGAATCTATCAAGTAAGTGACTGGATGCGACATGGTTTTAATGTCTGCATTAGCTCAGCTCTGGGCCTGTTGTAATGTAATGGGATTGTTCTCTCCTGCTTGCAAGCATGTTGGGAACACGGAGAGGGGGTTGTTTTAGCAGCAAGAGTAGATGCAGTGCAGAGACTGGGCCTGTTAAGGTCAAGTAAAAGTGTGTAATGTAACACCGACATAGTCCCGGGGCATGCTGGGGTTCCCCGACAGCTTAGACATACCAGAATGACAGAAACCTTAGACTTGGCTAAGTGGGAGAAGACTACTTATTTGTTCCTCATTATGATTCAGTATTATCCAAGCTGACAATCAAAGCAGGTAAAAGATGGATTGGAGGAGGCATGAACAGGGTTGGAGCAAATATAATAGCCATTAGGGCTGTAACTATATAGAAAGTATACCACCATTGTAATGCCCATGTTTAAGGTTTTGTAAAGCATTGCAATAAATCACAAACTGCATAATAATAGAATAATTGGCAATACCTTCCATCACCTTCCATGATGAGATTAAAATAAGTTTGAAGAGACTTTAGCTAAATTCCGAACTTATAAATACACACAAACTTACACAATAGTGCAAGATCTTGTGCAAAATGTTTGAACTCATGATGTGTTGTGAATTAATCTCAGATACAAACACTAATATCTCAAATTGTTTTGCATTGGTAAGGTTGATTAATTGTAGACATCTTGAATGAAGTTGACTTTAAAAGGTAGTCACTAGCAGATGTACATCCATCTTTTCTACGTTCTTGCTGTGTTTGTCTTCTAATTCCACTTTTGGTTCTTTTTGAAACACAGATAAGGTTTTTCTTTACCTTGCTGACGGTTTCGTTTGCGGCGGCAAACACCTTCAGAGCTGACGCTGATGGTGACGTCACTTCCTACTCCGTTTATCCGCGGGCAGCAGAGGACGTTGTTGCCCTCTGCTGCCTGCTCTCCCCTCTCCGATGATGCAGTCCCATGCACGATCCAATGAGTAAACTCCATCATCTCTGTTCATGGTCCCACATCCATGTCTCCTTATCTCTATAGCTTCCTTTATCCATCTTTAGTATTTCTGTTGTTCGGTGTTTATGATCCGTCTGGTGTCCCAGTCCATTATATGGTTTTCTCTTGTGCAGTGATCTGCTACGGCTGATTTCTTTATTGTATTTCTGCTTCTTGTTTTGCTGCTCGTGTGTTTTCAACTTGTTTCTTTCTCACACTCCCTTCTATGTTCTATTGTTTGTGTGTTGAGTTGGCGTCCAGTTTCTCCTATGTATGTTTTATTGCAGAGTTTGCATGGGATTTCGTAAACGACTCCACATTTATGACCAGCTAGTATCTTGTCTTT